CGCGCCCGCACTACCCCGGGCTCACAAGGGTGGGGTGTAGCCCCGGGGGGGACCCGAGGTCGCCCAGGGGGTGCAGGCTGCGGGTGCGCACCCCCTTTTTTTTTTTTTTTGCCGGGGCCAGGGGTCTCGACCCCCGGCCCCCGGGACCCCCGCCGGGGCCCCAGGGCCGGGGCTCGACAACCCTGGTGAAGACCCCTCTCAAACCCAGCTGACAACCCACGCTCTCATATGTCACCCGTCTCATCTCTCTCTATGGCTGATCAGTGCGACCGAAGAAAATCATGTCCCGTCCGTGGTCGCTCGTGTCTCTCTGTCTGTGGGCAGTCGACCTCGGGGTGTGACTACCGTGCGGCTGGACATCTGCGGACGGGGGTGACATTAGCCCTCCACCCTCGTGAGAGGGCGCTGTAGTAGAACCTCTAGATGGTAACCTCGGGCTGGCTGGCGCTCAAGAGATGTCCGGGCGGCCAGTGTCGATCCCGGTGTAATCCATTGTGTCTTGCGCCTCCAACTCCTCGGCGGTCATACAACTGAATGTAAGGGTGCCGCGAGGCTGAGGCACATACCTTGATTGTGACCTCTCCCTAGACGGTGCGAAAGGGGGGATCGGAGGCGCGCACATGCCCGTGCCTACATGTCGCGCTACGATCGAGGCAACACCACCTGCACAACGCATCAGATCTATAGGAAACGGTGCCTCGCGTGGCACCACCGTCCCCACGTCCGTGCGGACCACCAAACTCAGTGACGCCTCGTGCCTGTCTCTATCAAGGGTACCGATCACCTCCTCTCTATGTCTGACCCCACTGTCGACCTCTGCATGGCGACCGCCCCCAACCAAGGACATCGGATCACCATGGATTCGCTCCTTTACCCCCCCAACTATAGCGTCCCCCGCAACGTCTCCCCCCCCCTCCGTGGTCGGCGATATCCAATTTGCCTGTGCCAATGGTGCATCATCATCAACGCCTATTGACAGACCCGTCTGTATGTCCTCCAAACCCGGAGGCATGTCCTCGGTTTCAGGCAAAGCATCCTCGGTCATCTGCTCGTCGTGAAGAGGCTGGTTGGGCACCATATGCGGGTCGTCTTGTGCATCGACCCCGATCTTGTGCAACCCCTACGCCTCCGCTGGCATCCCAGCTGCCTCGCCTCCACCCATCTCGCCTCCAGCTGCCTTGCGTCCGACCGCCTCCCCCTTCATCCCTGCTGAAGTCGCCTTGCCTGCAACTTCCTCCACCTGCATCCCTGCCGACGCTGCCTCGAGTATAGCTGCCTCCCCCTGCGTCCCATTGCGAACCTCTGTCATGGGATCCACGTGGGCAACCGCCTGTGAGTTAGGGGACATCTCCATAAACGTCCCCAACGCGCGTGGGCAGCCGCCTAGACGGGCCAAGTCCTGCGTCCTGGGGCTAGCTAGTGCCAAGACACAAGCTCGACGACTATCAAGCCTGTCCAACCTCTCTGCTAATGTCTCTCCAGGGGGTGTGGCCTCCTCATCAACTTGAACCTTCGTTGGCGACGCTCCTAACTCTACGTGCATGGCAGGGGTGAAAGTCTTCGGCTGCATGGCACTCTGGTTTAATATGGACTGCATGCTGACACTCAAGTCCCCCCGAGAATCGCTCTCTTCGGGCGGCAGTCCCAAATCACCAAACTGACTAAAACCTCTGCGACCGCCCATCGATATCCCGTCATCACGACCCCCCCCAAGACCGTCTGTCTGAATCGCCTCCTCAATTGGAATACGTTCATCTCCTGACAACGGAGCAGTAAGTCCAGCAGTCGGCCTCTCCACATCTTTCTCGACCCTCTCACTCGGTGAAGGACCGCCCACCAATCTCTCCTCTAATCGTTGTCTCGGGCCCTTCACCAATCTATGCAGTCGCCCTCGAAGGGGCAAACCTCGATGAAGATTTTGCGACGGAGGGGGAACAACGCCGGCTGAAGCCATCCCACTGCAAATACGTTCGGGATGCTGCCCAGGATTGCCGCCACCGCAAGCTGACTGACTCTGTCCCCTAGAACGCGCAGACCCGTGCACCGCCTGCGTATCGGCAGATTGGGGCCCCGGAGACGAAGGCTGCTCTCGCTCAAAACGGCTCCCGTCACCTCCCTTGAAAAGGTCGCCCCCGCCGCTACGTTTACGGATGTCCTTCGGGTCGCTCCACTCATCGGCCTCCTGCGAGGCCGGATGGTCAGCAGGTTCCGCCCGCTCCTCCCCCCCCTCAGGGCCCTCGTCATCACTGTCATCATCCTCGGGGTAAGGGTGCAACGTGGCAGCCCGAGTCCCAAAAACCTCTCTGACCTCTCCAGGAGGAGCTCTCGACCCACACGGGTCTCACGTCCACTAACGTCTCTGCCTCTCCCGGTCCTCCTGCGACCTGCAGGCGTCCGTCCCCTGCCACGACGGTTGAGTCCCTATTTATGACAAGACAAGGGGGGTAAGTGGTAAGGGGTCAAGGGGTAAGGGTATGGGGTAAGGGGTAAGGGGTAAGGGGTAAGGGTTAAGGGGTAAGGGGTAAGGGTTAGGAGGTATGGGGTAAGGGGTAAGGGGTAAGGGGTAAGGGGTAAGGGTTAAGGGGTAAGGGGTAAGGGGTATGGGGTAAGGGCTCATGAATTGTGGGTAAGGCGGTCGGGGGTCGGGGGTTAGGTGTAAGTGTTTCTCACATACTCATTTCTTGTCTCTACAACAGAAAAATTCCCATGAGAAATGAAAGTTGAAAAAATATTCCATAAAAGAAAAATCCTTCGTATTTATAAATTATCATTTCAATGTTTGTCCAATTCTAAAATTTCCAATTTAATTTGATAAGTTTCTGTCTAAATATGAGTTTTCCCTTCCAGCTACATCTATTTGTTCAAGATGGAATGAAAATCTGGACGAGTTTATGAAATGTTTTAATTAGACTTTCATTCTACTACAACAAATATCGTCTAATTTAGATTGGATTAACTTATTTATGACTGAAAATCCTTACTTAGAATGTTTGTCCAATTAAAATATTTCATGAACTCATCCAGACTTTCATTCCATCTCTAGCATGCAGTTCAAATAAGAAGGGATACCCCATTCTTGAAAGAAGAGTTTTCAAGTAAGACGAAAAATTTTAAAATTGGAATGACATTTTTTAAGATGAAATAAAAATTTGAAATTTAGAATGTAATTTTACTCTAGAATGATTATTTAATTCTCGGAATTTTTTCTGTTACATTAACCATTTTTTCATAAGATGTCTGTCTTGCACGACCAATTACCTTTTTTTGTCGACCACATAATTAATTCGCAGTACTTCTGCGAGCTCATCTTCTCCTATTATCACCTTTACTTGTGCCCACTGCATAGTCCTTTCATATGCTTGGACGATTACTGTAGTACCCGACTCATATGTCTACTCCACAACATCTACATCGAAAGCTATCCAGCATCGTAGTCTCGTAGTGTCATCTGATGTGAAGGTGGATGGTGGCAGAAACCCTCTTACCTTGTTCGACCGCATATATGAGCATAAACACACTCGTTGAAGTCGCACTGCTTTGAAATATCTTCCACTACCTATCGATGGTCAAAGTTTTTGGTGTCAATCTTTTTATCTTGTTCGACCGATCTCATATACAAAAATTTTGGTGCGAGTTCAACATCTAGTGTCAGCGAATCGTAGTACTCAAATTTCATATGCCTTAGGTCCGTCACTATGAGTGTCCAATGTTGGTTGTCCGCGACATGAAAAGGTGCAATAATCAAATCCATATCGCTTATCACAACCTCTGTGAACCATTTTGGAATCATATCGTACTTAAACTTCATATTGCTATCAAAAAGTCTGGAAAAAAAAAGAGCTAACAATTGTTATTCTACGAATGCGCTCCTTTCCTGTTCTAGCCACATTCTCGTTCGTGGAATCGTAATTCCCGTGATTCACACGACACTCGTTGTCTAGTCGAACATGGTTAAGATAGAAATGAACTATCTCCTCACTCAACCATTTTTTCTATCATGAGCAAGCTAAAAGTGTTCACTGTCATCGTCAATTCTTCTTTCGTGTCTTCGTTAAATGAGTTTGCTATTACGTCTCTATTCCCAATTTGCACTAGCAATCACGTGAGTGTCTCCATCTCCTGCTCCATTAAGTTCGTTGTTGCCAAGTGTACGGTCCTTCTTTTTCTGTACCTTCAGTTATCCTCCATTGTCGTTTGCGTTGCATATGGCAACGAACCATAACTTTATGTAAGCTACTGTTCCAAGACGTGTTGTTATAGTCACGTTGATTGTATGTAGTTTATTGTCATAATGCATACTCTCGGTTACCTTAACGGAGGGGGGGGCTTATAAGAAAATTGGAGTTTGCGGAGTGGAAATCGATACACTCCTGCTTATGTTTTAATGCACTTATTCACTTGCATAGACTGCACTAACAAGTTATATGACATACCACACTAATAATTATACATACGTGAGATTTGTCGATGATGATATATGCATTATACAATACCGACGAAGAGAGATAAGAAAGAATACGTAACTACAATTCCGCTTATTCATTGAAAGTTTTATGAAGAGTTAACGGGGGGGAGAGAGAGAAAGTGAGAGAGAGAAAGTGAGAGAGAGAGAGAGAGAAAGAGAGAAAGAGGGAGATAGATAGATAGATAGATAGATAGATAGATAGATAGATAGATAGATAGATAAAGATAGAGAGATAGATAGATAGATAGATAGATAGATAGATAGATAGAGAGAGAGAGAGAGAGAGAGAGAGAGAGAGAGAGAGAGAGAGAGAGAGAAAGAGAAAGAGAGAGAGATTATAATGTATCATGGATGACACTTTTATCTCATATCCTCTCAAATTCCAAGCGGAATCAGTTATTTCATGACGCGTTGGCGGCGCGAATACCCTGACAAGGGTATCTGCCCTAGTTTTTGCAAGTAACAGGGAGTAAGTCTGGAAGTCCCGATGTACTGCGCAAGTCGCGACTCTGTCCGTTGAGCTACGCAAATAGGGTGGGTGACTATTGTAGAGCATGAGTAGGCGCGCGGGATTGAGGGGCGCGTGTGATTTCTCTAATTTGATTACGCAACCGACCTAATTGACCGGCCCGGTTTTGTTATTTAGGAGTAAAAATGGTGTCCCGTTGGTAGCCCTACGTACGGTGCGGGGTGCGAGGCGACCACGGTCCAGGGAGGGCAAGCCAGTGCGGGGGCCTAGCAGTCACGTGCGTAGTTAGGGGAGATGACGAGGGCCGGGCTATTTCTCCCAGGCCAGGGACTGTGTAACACCACCTCATATAGGATCTAGCGCGGGTTGGTACCAGGCTTGGGCTTAGCCCTATAGGTTACGGTATCGGATTGTCAGCGGATGGCGGCGCGGGAGCATTGGAGCATTGAAGGGCTGAGGGGTTGAGGGTCTTGTGGGACTATCCCTTTTAGTTTTTGTTGGGGGAGTCCGGTGGCGGACCCATTAAGTAAGGCCAAGGGAGTACCGGTAGGTTAGGCTGTCCCTCCCCTATCGCATTAGTTTCTGTATTATTTTTTGTTTGCTTTTAATATTATTACTCACTATTTTTGGCTTGCATGATTTGACAGGAGTGTCAAAGGTCGCAGCTGCGAGCCTGCGACAGCCTTTGAGGGTCAAGGTCGTAGCTGCCGTGATGGTTGACAGGCCGAAGGCCGCCCAGAACCACGGCTGGGCCAAGGCCAGTGGGCTGATAGTCGGGTCCGCCCGTGCAAGTCAGCGATACTCGGTTGCGATCCTTAAGTCCAGTCAGCGAGTCCTACGTGGGACAAGGTGCGCTGGGGCTTGGGCACAAAGGCAGACCGGCAAGCCGCAGACGTATAAATCAGGAGGCAGCGGGCAGTGTTTCACTCCTGCCTGCGGAAGCCATGCGGGAGCTCTGTTGGGAGGCAGCGCAGTCAGGGGAAGGGGGGGAGCAGCATCAGGGGGCTGAGACGTTGAGTGTTGCGCTAGCAGCAGCTGGCAGAAGGGGACGTAGTGAGCGGCGCTGCGCTAGCGGCCGTAAGCTATGAAACACCCGCGGACGCGTGCGCGGGGTCGATCTCGGATCGCGGACCCAAATGGGTCCGCATCGGCGGCCTACCTGGTCCGCACCGCGGACCCGATTTTACACAAATTTTCCTGAATTAAATAATAGGTAAATAAAAAAAAACAAAATATGGGGTTGTAGGGAATTTTAAGCCCTACAACTCCATATTTTTTGTTTTTGAATCCGACTTTGTTTAGGATTTTTAAAAAATCAAAAACGAAATTGGATTTAAAGATAATTAAAAAACTATATATAAGGAAAAGCAGGAATTTATCATGAGATATATGGTCCGTGAGTTTACCTGTATTTTTTTAGAAATGAATTTATGTTTTTTGCAGAAGTATGAGGTGTTTTGAAAAAATGCAGATGCAAAAAAAAAAAAAGAAAAAAAAAGGGGTTTGATTGATTGATTGATTGATTGGTGGTGGGGGAGGAGTCGCTCCACC